TACATATTTCCATTATTGATATACATTTTAGAATAAAATACACAATAATTATTACAATAATAGTTAACGTATGTATCTCTTTGTCTTTATGCACTCTGCTTTTATTAAGTTCATACGCAAATTCGCAAAATTGTTCCTCTCTCACGATCCGTTCAACTCAATCCGATTACCTCCTGAGACAGGCACCAAAATCCGATTAAGCTAGGGAGTTTTTTGAAATGTACCAAATGAGTACCACTGTTCGATCGGATTGGAAATCCGATCATTTGTCGTAAACACCCACGATGCGCACATTCCGAATGCGTGGCACCAAAAAAGTTCGCACTGGTGCGCACTAGTGCACTCTGTCGAATTCGCCATAAGAGAATATTTAATCTATACAACCATTGCATAAAAATTATTATCTTATTTAATTTAAAAAAAGTTATTATTAAATATTGTTTATAAATGTAATAATTACAGTAATTATTTTCTTTAATGTAATCCATATAACATTAAATTTTACTTTTTGTTGTTTATATTAATATCTTAAGCCTGCGATATATGAGGTTTGTTTTCCTGCCGGATTGCTTACGTTTCAGTTAGAAAATCTACGTTCCGTATGACACAATTCTAATAATTTACAAAAACGCAAGCAATCTAACAGGAAAAAAACGCATTGTATATATGTCGCAGACTTTAATTAAAATATTTTTACAGTATAATATTTATATTATACATACAATATTTACATAAGCTTATATTTTCTTATCTTTTTATTTTATAATGCATTACAATTAGGCTGGAGTCCCATGAGGCGTATTTGCCGCGTATCGCGTAACCGCGTAACCAATCAAAAGTGATAAAACACGAAATCACAACAGCAAGTTATTTTTTATCATTTTTGATTGGTTACGCAGTTACGCGATACGCGGTAAATACGCCTCATGGGACTCCAGCTTTATAGTAGAGACCCTAAAAGGAAAAACTCGCCAACTCATCACGTGACTGTGGGTGATTCTGATTGGCTAGGGTATGGATCGCACATCTGCGTTCCATGAACATGTACCATAACCTATTCTAATAGAATACGCGTACATACATGACAGATAACACATGTGTCGCTGTCAGCTTGTGCTGCTTAGAGACCCTCTAACAGAGACTGGCCATCAGGGTGCCACTTTTGATTGGTCCGCCATTTCCTAGTGATTCCCGCTCGTATTCAAATTTCAATTACTGCATTTACTTGGAATGTGAATAGTATGTAATGATAAATATTATAGAAATATTGAAACCGTGCTTTTTACATCAATATAAATAATATACGTCAAATAAAAAAAAACATGTCAAGTTTTATCGTCAGTTATATACATCTTTATCTTTAAATAACTTTGTTATAATAGCTGTTTTTTAACATTTATGATTTAATTTTTGACTTTGTTATTAAATTTTAAACATTGACTCTTATATTATCTTCGTTCTTTTTGTTTATACGTTAAATAATTTCTATATTTAATATTCTCTTTCTTAATTCTATTAAATCTTTTTCAAATAAAATTAAAGTAAGGTTAGGAAATCAGTGACAAAAGTAAAAACACTTAACATTTGTAAAATTTATTTAAAAAAGGTATGTACTGCCAATGATTTACTATCATATCTTCTATTAATATTAGTATTTTTCTTA